ACGGTCTTATACTGTAATAATTCAATTAGTCATTGCAGGATAAAAAAAAAAAAGTTCAGCAATGATTGGAGTCCACTTGAAAGCTTTCTATACAGCCCTGTAAATTAGACTTAGCTTCTACAAGATGACCCAGCTCTCAGAGTGCCTTACTACACAGAATCCTCATCCTGGGCTACAAATCTAATTCACTGACCTTTGGTAGGATTCATTTTAATATTATAAATTGGGAGACCTACCTTCTTTGGGTGGTCGTTTGGCTTCCTTGGACAGGTTGCAGACCTGGGTGGTTTGCAGTTCCTGGGTTAGACATCCTTCAGTCTGCTCATTCAAGGGTAAGATGACATTGTTTAGGGAAACCAAAGATTGGTCATCTATCCCCCATTCTCCTAAATGCTGAGGACAGGTGCATTTTGTATACATAATCCCACAAAGCTCCGTTTTGCCATTTTCCAGTTTTAAACAGTTCTCCAACCAAGTACACAAGACATGGCACCCAAATTGACTCGGGCTCACTTTGTTCAACACCAGAAACTCCAAAAATGATTTTTGGTCTTCATCCTTTTTCTGTAATCCAGTGAAATCAATGGGATATATTCGACGAAGCTGGATAAAATTTTTATCATAGTGCAGAAAAACAAAGGCATTCTTCGTATCACATAACTGCATTATAGAATGGTTATTTCTTAACAGATCCTGTATTTTCTCATAAGAGAAATGGTCGAATTGATAAGCCAAGAGGGAAAAGTTGGAGCAGATCAAGTCCTTTTTGGAGAATTTCAGGTAGATGCTATATTTGGTCGGATCTGGGTTTTCCAACGTCCAGGTGCAGTTGGTAAAGTTTTTAGGGAACATTTCACTTATTGAGTATGATCCATAAATTACTCCCTTGACCAGTGTAGAGCACCAGAAGTCTTGGGCAGAATAAGATCCAAACATAACCAGTAGATAGGTGGAAAATATATAAATCAACAAATTACGAACAGCCTTCATCCTATGTCATTTGGCCTGTAGAAAATGAAATAAAATCAAAATGCACGTAGAATTCTGCAAGCATTTGAAAACAAGGCTCCTGACAATATTCTAGACAGCTGTTTTCAAGATTCGAGCTAGCTTAAAAAATAAACCTTTTCAAAAAGAAGGGCGAGTATATATATTTATATATATATATTATATTTTTCAACGTACGGGAATGCTTCCACCGTGGGCAAACAGTGCCACCATGTGGACAAAAAACCCTGCACCTCCCTTAAAACCCTAAAATAATATTTCATAAAACATTACTTTGTTAACTGTAAGGTTTATCTTTATGTGAATTATGTACAGTATTGGCAAAGATCATACTGATGTTTCATGTCATCAAAATGGCCAAATCAGAAGGCATAGGGGGGAAAAAAAATACTTTAATGAAATAACACTGAATATGTCATATATATGTATAGTAAATTTAATAAGACATATGTATATGGCGTATCTCTGTTAATAGGGTATATTTATGGTACACACGTAATGCAAATGTCTATATGTGCCTGTAAATATGGCTACTATTTACATTCACAGAGTAAGTGTTTTGTAACAAAACTAACAAATCTCACAAACACTGGCAAAATAAAAAACACGCATGAAAACATATGGCTAAATAATACAAAGCTGTCCCAGTAGTTTACATGTTAAACCACTACTGCGATTTTACACTGATGACTGCTTGACTGTAAGCATTCTCCAAGGCTCAACTCCACAGATGAGCCCCAGAATTGCAATGGGAAATGACATAACCTCTTGGGATATGGAGTGGATCTGTACATTAATTGCTCTGCACAGAGCGAATGCTAAAGCAAAGGATGTTTAAACACCCCAAAGTATCGCTATTATTTAGAAATCAAGCAGTTAATTACTGCTGAACATACTGTTATGACATAGCTTTATGGGATTTTGCAGATGGGGTCTTTCATAGTCAAAGCCAGGTTTCCTTTATTTTCTTATTTTCTTCATTAAAAAGCCTGCATGTTTCTTGTACTGCTTTTAATTATTCAGATAGAGATAGATAGAGAATATTTTAATTATTTGCTATTATGTTTGTGTGTGTGTGTGTATATATATATATATAGAGAGAGAAATACACACACATACACACACTACTTACAATGGCAGGTTGTTTATCTCTGAAAACATACAGTATTGAGTTTTTGTTCAGGCTACAATTTGAAAAGCAAATTGCAACAAAGTCCATATTGAGAAGTATCAGTCCAACACTGCCTTCAGTGTGACTGAGGTCAGGGTATGGGCATCTACTTAAATGAGTTTGTATCTATCACTGACCGTCTCACAAGAACTAACCATTCAGTGTTCTGGATTAACTCTTTGGTGGCTATCTCCGTGGTGTGAGTTTCACAATTTAGGAAACGTCCCTTTTGCTGTAGAAGTATAGTCTAATACTGTTATCAACTCAGGGTGGGAGAAATAATTTGAAAAACATTCTGCAACCCCTACTACATGTCCAGGGTTTTCAAACGTTATCACAGCTGCCTTCCTAGACTTACAAAGAGAGTAGCATATTTCCATAGGAACAGTAGAGAAACGTGTCTATTTCATCAGGGATCTAATTCCAGCCTGCAGCTCGCCATAGACTACTAGACCGTATAGATATTTAGATACACATACATATATATTTCAAAGCAAAGATGTTTTAAAAGGTACATACAGCAAAGACAACAGATCTCTTGTATTCTCCCCACTCAAACAGTTTGCATGCAATGCAGTTCTGCGCAGTGTCATTCAGCAGAGTGTAGGCGTTGAGTGTCAATGTGACAGCCTTTTTAATTGAAGAAATAGTCAAAAAAATATCTTAGATTTTATCTAATTAATGCACACCATGGGGCAGACAAGTTACTGGCGTTTTCCCCATTTGCTTTTATATATTCTATTCGTGTCATAAAAGAGAACATTATTGCTGCTGACGTTACGATCAACTAACGTTTACTGATATTTCCAGTACCAAATCATTCCCCGGGGTCTGAAAGTATACAGAGTATACCATTTAATTATACTCAGAGGATCGTGAAAGCCAAGTTAATCCGATCTAACCATCCCTCTCTCCTTCTATTCAAACACATTTCATTGCTGTCTCCCTGATAGACCAAATAGCTCACATTGTGTCACTAATGGTTGAGCTACACAAAACAAACATGCATTTTAGTTTCTGGATCTGCCCCAAAACTGATTTTTTTTATTTTTTTTATCCCCCCTTCTTCTTCTTCTTCTTCTTCTAGGTGACACTGTATTTTAGCAAAACATAGACGGCGCCATGACTCCACTGTTACATTTATAAATATAAGACTAGCACAGATTTCTCCATTCTCAACTTCCTATTAACCCCTGCTTCACTGATGTCCCTGTAATGATGCACTGGAGCCATGGCAGAGGGGCAAACGATAGTCCAATCACACTGACCTCACACACATAATTGTTTAATATTTTGTAATATTACTCACAAAAAAAGAGGGATTCCATGTACAAACCAAGATACTCCTCTAACTTTTTAAGTGCCCAGGATATTAGAAGACACCAAGTCCAAGTGAATGTGATGTGAAAGGTTCTCCTGTAGCCTCTGGATTCAGAACCTTCAGCCACTCCTGGTGGTTACCCCAATGACCAGGCTCGGCTGGAAGAATCTCTCGTTAAGTGTGAATGAAAAAGGAAATCATGGACCGCCTTACCTTCCACTCCAAATCTGTGGCTATCTCTCTAGGACACTAGCAAAAACACACGTCCCCAAAATAATAAAGGAAATCCTCCCTTTCTTCAGAATCACTCAATCCCATTTTTGCCTCGATCGCCTTTTTAAATCAAAACGAGCATCTCCATAGGAATAGTAGCCAGATCCCTGTTTCTCTGTTTCTCTCTGTGTGTGTTTATTTGCAACAAAATAATCACCAGCCGCCCAATTGATCACTTGCAGGAATTAGGAGAAGTGAAACAATGATGCAATTTTGATTGCAGTCTGAGTAGGAATAAAGTCAAACATCACAAGAGCAGGAACCAGGAAAGCAGTAGGGTAGCTATGGCTTGGTGCTCAGTGGAGACAGGAGGCTGGTGTACTCCTTCCTGATTTGGATATATTCTTTTAGCCTTTTCTCTCCTCCCAGGGGTATTGATGGCTGGACCAGAGGTTTATTAGAAAGAAATCCTTTAGCCGGTGCTGGAGAAATCTGTGTAAATGTAGAGATTACTGAAGACTAGAGTGAGAGCCCAGAGAATGAGACATTGAAGCAGTGCGTGTGCGTGGTGGGTGCATGTGTGTGTGTGTGTCTGTGTGTCTGTGTGTGCATGTGTGTCAGCTTCACTTAATGTTAGATGCTGAAGACTGAAATAAGGGGAAGTTCTGATGATTTGGCTCCCAGTGTTGTGTTTTGCATCCCCCTTAAAGTATTAATGCACGGGTAGCTATCTGCTCCAGTGATCCTTGGCTGGTGATGATGTAGGGAGTTTGCTGGAAGCTGGGAGAGGAAGGGGTGAGAGAGACAGAGAGAGAAATAGAGAGAGCGAGTTTGTGTGTGTGTTTGTGTGTGTGTGAGAGAGAGAGAAAAAGAGAGAGAGAGAGAGGTTGTGGCAGCATTAGTGACTGTGTCGGTTTCAGTATGGGGCTGCCAATACATGTCACAGAGCCACAAACAGACATGTCCTGAAAACGTTATTTTCTCAGTCTGGGATTTTTTTTTTAATTCTACATTTATTTCCCACCACTGGGCTGACTACTGCCGACTGTTAAGAGCAGCTCAGGGAGAAAGGGACATGGAGAGCACACAGATTGAGATCATAGCTCTTAACCATTTGATTCCCCCGAGCTGGAGATCGCAGCACAAAGTGGATGTGAATGGGGATTTGATTCATTGAAAATCCGTGGAGGAAAATCATTTATTGAAGACTGATCCCAGTGAGACACCTCGGGCATAAGAGATGAGAAGGAGTGGGAAAAAAAAAGTGGTCAGCTTGACTGGAGATGCAATCAGAGATGTTGTTATGTTATAAAGATGGGCATATTAAAATGCTGGCGTAATTAAAAAAAATAAACAATATATTTTTCTATATTCATTCATTAGGAATGACATAAGACTGCAAAGGGGTACATGTGAATAAAGCCTAGAGCTGCCCCTTTCCTTCTTTTCTCCTACTCTCTGGATTAAATGACCATAAGAATAAAAGCAGCAAATCAAGATGTCACAATGTACGATTTGTCAGCGTGATCCCTGCTGCAGATTAATTGATATAGGGCTACAAGGAAAACACTTATCAGCCTTCACACCGCTGTCTGTCTGCTCTGGAAACAATAGCAATTTTCTCAGCAAGGCTACAATTAGCATGGTATTTGTTCTCTTGTTGTTTAGATTGGGTGCACGGCTAAAAGACTGGCTTATACAATTGCCCCATACTCTGCCAAGCTTGCAATGTGTGGATCTCAAAGCACTCTGTGCTGTCCATTGGCAATGCATTACCAACTCTCCTTGGGCTACAGCCTCTCCAAAATCCCATCTACAGCACTGCCTAGAACTTTAAAGTCTCAGAGGACATTGAATGGCTGGCTTCATTCTGACATTGTGGATGAACTTTTCCTTTTAAAATAAAAGGGGGAATCCCAACTGAATGAATTTTTTCCCATTGTTATTTGCAAACTGGGACTAGCCTTTTACAGCTGATGCATTTAATAGCAGACTTGCATCCAAGTGCTGTGCATTCATTTAATAGATCCAGCAGAATAAAGGGCTTGGATGCCTGGTTTGTGCTTCTTCTTATTCTGTGCACTAGTGACCCGGGCACTTCCCAGGACAATACTGGCTGACTGGAGGGTAATGGATGGATTCGATCAAATCCAGGGTCACAACCTGCTTAATAATAAAAATAATTTCTTTCATAACACAAGCAGTATTTCCTCTGTTGGCTCCTACTGAATGCGAGGGGGATGCAATGGCATTTTCCCTACTTGTTCTAAAATGGGACTTTGACAAGTGTCTGTCCTATTTCTCAAACTTACCTTGGAGCCTCAGCGTTCAATTCCTCAAACTACTGAAACTTATTACCAGTGATAAACTAGTAACGGTAATTAGTGTGACCATAACTGCCCAGAGGCTTAAGTACTGCAGTACATGGCTCCCAAAGGACATCTTAAAAGCCAACTTTAGTTACTTCTTTGAATACAAATGTGGGGTATGGAATGTCAGTTCAAAATAGGACATTATAAATTAGCCATAATATTCATTATGTCCCCCTTCTCCCTGCCATTTTTTATTGTAACTGTCCTTTCTACAAGATTGAATTCTGTATTTCTTTAAGACTGCTCATTTCTGATATCTCTGGTAGTGCATTTTTCAGGACAGTTAATACAATGTGATGTTTATTTGTGATTAAACTCAAACCTTGCATGTCATGTTGATTTCTGCGGCAACAAACATTGGATGAAGATCATTACTGTAGTTCAATGATCCCTAAAGAGCCACAGGTCATTACTGCTGAGGATCCGGTAAATAAATTCTATTTTTTTCAACCAAATTGCAAAATTTGGGCTACAATGGAGTCACCGTCCAACCGAGTAGAGTTATTAAATAGCCTCCATTGATTAATTAATAGATGTAAAAATAAAACACATTTTGGGTAACAGTGATTTTTTTCCCATAGAGTAGAACACGGTTTACAGATGGGAAAGTGCCTGAATGATTTAGGCAGTTCTCTTTAAACTGCTGCTTACAGTAGGCACACGATTCATCTACTATTGTACAAGTTAAAGCCTACACCACTATATCTATCTGATAGGCTATAGGCCTGAGTGATTGCCTGCAGAAGGGTGATGCCAGACTCAAGGAGAGGTAACCAGGATTGTGTTGCCATCTGTTACTTACATAGAAGATAATGTTTCTTCCTTGTTACTACATCCATTACAGTCATGGATTGCCCTAGCATTTCTTTATTGGCTTAATTCTTAGTACAATTATAAAATTAAATCCTAATATTCCAAGTCCAGCTCTGTACCTCTCAGACATCCATTTACACTGCCCTGCTGTGTGTGCCTGGTGGCTATATATCAATGCCAACTGAAAGTGAATATATTTAAAAAAAAAATGTGAACTTCTCACCAAGGGAAATGAGTTTACGATAATACGTCTTTTCTTTTAACAGTCTGCTATTAACAATAACAGTTAAAAGAACCTCTATGCACCTGGAACACTATATATATCAGTGTTCTTTCCTAACATAAATTCTTTGTATGCTTCAAATGCCAGCTCTTCTGTTCATGCTAGAATTGACTTTACACTCAAGATAACATGTGCTGTATCCAAGTCCAAGAAACTGGGGCACAGGATAACCATGTGTGTGCCAATGGGAGAAAACTCTCACTTGACAGACTAATCTGGCACCCAAAGAGTTAAGCCTTTCAGTAATAATTGACCAATTAAAGGCACACTAGCATTTACCATTTGTGTTAAGCTAAAAAAAACAGTAAAGATACACCCACTAATGTAAACATTGTTAGTAAATATATACTTAAATGTCCAATACCCAAACTGCTTAATTCTTGTGCATGCATAATAATTTATAAGATAAGATGCATATTGTATTATAGTATGTGTATGTACGTGGAATGTTTACAAGATAATTTATGAGATTATTGACTTTGCTGTGTCATTCTCTGGTGGGGCTGACAAAAAGATATGCCTAAAACTATTTTAACCTATCTAAATTATAATAGTGTCATCGATTAATACGCTATCTCTTTTTTTTTTTACTCTATTTACGAATTCCAGCATGCAAGTAGCAGTTTATTTATGAATCAAGTTTAAATGTCAATGATGTGCCAACTTGTTTTAGTATCTTTTAGTGTAGGCAGAGCCATTGCTGATTATTTATTCATTTAACACAACCTCCTTTTTATTTGACATGTATTTTTATTTTTATTTTGTTTTGTTTTTTCTTCATATGTTCTTAATATTCTGCATATACATGTTATATTACTTATTTTCTTCTGTCATGAATGAGTGTTCCAGGATTTCAAGATAAGCCAACATTTGAAGATGTGCTTGTTCAGTTAACAGTGAGCTATGGTCAGATCACAAAAGTTCATCTGGAGATTTTTTTCATTTCTTTATTTGGCCTGAATGTTGCAAGTCAACAACTCACTTTGAGAAAAAAAAGAAATATTTCTAGCCTTTTTAACAGATTTTGTTGTATTTTAGGTTATATTTTCAAATCAGATGTCAACTCAACACAACTCACTGTTTAGAAAACAAATCTTCATTCACATTATTCATATACTATACTATTAAGTATGAATATGAATGCATAATAATGTTGATAATAATTGCAGTGGCTGTATCTTTTTAATGAATATAAATTATGTCATTTTATCGGCATACATTATTCGCAAGACATTTATAACTTCATCATTTATTTATAATTTAGCACATAGAATCCTGGTATTCATATTATTTTGGTTACATTCCGGAAACAAGATAATGCACACGATTCAAATTGTGATTTAATGAGGTGTTACACTCTGTGGATTGATATATCTCACTAAATTGTATGCTTGATCATCATAACTATATGCATGTGACTTATATTTAGAGCAAATGATGTGTGGCTCATAAAATGTCCAAGAAACCTATTTTCTCCTGGTATTCCCAATGCACTGCAGCTCTATAATTAACTATTATTGAAAGGTCATCTTCAGGACCAGATGGGTATCCAATATGTTGCATTATTTGTAACAGTATTTAGAATGAAGTGCCTTGCATCCACACAACATCCGCCAGTTTGCTGTCAGGCTGCCACACATTTTCTGTAATTTTGCAAAATCTTATTTTGCAGTAAATCATACAAAATGTGTGTTGGAGAACAAGAATATCACATTGACAGTGTCCAAATCTTCATAAGAAATCACATTGCCATAACATGCAACTGTCCCTGTACTGAGGCAATTATACACCTGCCACAGTGTCTTTCTTTTCTTCTTAATTCAGTTATAGTGTCCTTATATAGCCCTAACATTATCTGCAGATTACAGGACATGCCTCAGTCACTCAGAAAATGCTAGCACTTGCTATACATCCATTGCATTATGGAAGGAAAATACAGCATGGGTAACACTTGACTGACTCTGTAGTTGTTTTATATTGTGCTATCAGTGATGGAAAACTATTGACTGATTGAGTGGCATGGGGCACACAGTCAAAAACAGTTTATGTTTTCAAATATTTGTTGTTGCTGATCTACTGTTTGCCAGTTCCCTGTCTGTCTGTGCACTGCCAAATTTGGGCTATCAGAGCTTGAAAAAAAATTCCCAACTCTCCTTATACCCATCAAAGTTGATGCATTTGTGCATCTCTGTTTTGGTGTCTGTCATAAAAATATGTCCTTTCAGCTAAATATTTTAAGAAAATTCCAGTCCATAGTATTTTTCATTTGTTATTGTCACATTTTATATATATTTTAACTATAGTGCTAAAATTGTAGATACAAATAAAGAGCATCATAGGATACGTGCATCAAATTAACATAAATTTTGCTTACAAGCTTGAGGAAGCATAGGTGGATAACAATATTACGTAGAAAATGAAAGAAAGAGCGAGGGAGGTAAAAAGAAGAGCAAGAGAGATGGCTATAAGTTAATGCGGAATTCATGATGAAGGGATAGTGTAAAAAATTGAAAATAGGAGATAGATGAGTAACTGGATTGCTGCAATGTGTATTGCTGTTCCAACAGATTGTAAATAAAAAGTGGTGAAAGTCTAGAATAGGAGCCATCCAATGACATAGTAAAATAAATAAACAACTAAATAAATACAGTGCATACAACATAAAACCTACCACACCCTGGAATCCCTATAGGAGAGAAAAAGTCAGCAGGGAGGGATAAATCAAGGTAAACGAACTCAGAAGGGTGGGACAATACTTGTCTCCGTGTCTTTCATAAAATCATGACTTTTCATCATGAAATAGCCAAATCATGTAATTTTATGTCAAGACACAGAGGCTCATATTGCAAGTTTAAAGCTGACCAACAATCGACAAAAAACTTGAAACAAATTAGCAAAACGTGGATTCACGCGACCAGTCCCCCATCCTCATTAAGTCTTCCAGACGTGCACCTGAAGCCACCATAGACATGGCTGAAGCCCCCCGGGAAGAGTTGGTGCCAAAAATGGATGTGTCCACCCAAGCCTGTGACATCACCCTCTTCACCCAGCGAGCCAAGGTAGTACTTGAAACAGGAGAAAAGGGTTGTCGAATTAAGAGAAATAGTTGTGGAGATGATACAGAACGATGCGCACTGGTCCGAAGCTCATATTCGCGCAAACAAGCAACAGGACACAACGCCAGAGAAACAGGAAAAAACGGATACGATACCTACCGAATAGCAGTCTTAGTTGGCCTGGAGATGTTAAAGGTCATCCCATCTGAAGTGAAGGACCGTGCATCGTAGTCCAGGGCACGAACATCCGAAACCTGTTTGCACGAAATGAGGCAAAAGAGGGAGACCAACTTGGCTGACAATTGCTGTAAGGATAGGTCTGGGTTAGGAGGCCAGGAACTGAAAAGAGACAACACACAGGAGACATCACAAGTGGAGGAGTAACGAGGCCTAGGAGGGCGTGACAGTCAGAATCCCAGCATCAAACGGCACACTAAGGGGTGTTGGCCCATGGGACAACTGTCAAAACCGCCATGAGCCGAAGAAATAGCCGACCTGTACAAATTAATAATTTGATACGCACAACCAGGAGGCGTTTAGTTGCATCCAAAACCCTTTGGAGATCCCAGAGACCACAGAAATTCACCATGCAAGCAGCAGGAGGGACCCACCCATCCAGCAGAAGCGTAGGCCTGTCCAATCCAGAAGAAGGTCCGGGTAAGACGGCAACAACCTGGGTAAATCCACTGCCAGCTCCAGCAGCTGTGGGAACCAGAATTGTGTTCCCCAAAATGGGGCCAGCAGGATCAATTCAGCCTGTTGGGGGTGAACCTGGAGTAGGACTCGAGGGATCATGGCAAATGGAGGGAAGGCATATTGGAGCGAGCCGTTCCAGTCTTCCGCAGCCATGTCCGGGAGCCAGCTGTAGAACCGTGACAATTGGGTGTTGAAATGGGACACAAATAGGTTGATGGCAAAAGGACCCCAGAGATAGACGAGATAGCGGAGTACACCGCCACGTCCAATCTCCAGTCACTGCTGTCCAAAATATAGCATGAACTCCAGTCTGTGTGAATGTTGTGGAGTCCCAGGAGGTTCTCTGCCCAGACCATCAAATCCATGGCCAAGCAATACATCCAAAAGTCCATGGTGAACTCCGGTAGGGAAATGAAGATGGCCTTGCCATTCCAAGCAGAGAGGTTGTGGATCCACCAAGTCAATTTGTCTCACGTCTCGGTTT